AAATCAAAATAACAATGAGCTATTATCTCACTCCAGCAATAATAGCAAAGTTCAACAGGTCAGAAAATAACAAATGCTGGCGAGGTTGTGGAGAGATTGGAACTCTTGTGCACTGCTGGTGGGATTGTAAAATGATACAACCATTGTGGCAAACAGTATGGTGTTTCCTTAAAAAACTGAAAATAGAATTGACCCAGCAATTCTATTACTAGGAATATATCCTAAAGAGGTGAGAGATAGTGCACAAATAGACATGTGTACACCTATGTTCATGGTAGCACAATCCACTATAGCAAAGAGATGGAAACAACCTAAATGCCCATCAACAGATGAGTGGATAACCAAATCATGGTACATGCACATAATGGAGTACTATGCTGCATTAAAGAACAATGAGGGATACACGAATAATCTCACAATGTAGATGAGCCTGGAGGACATTATGCTGAGTGAAATAAGTCAGTTGCAGAAAGACAAGTACCGTATGAGCCCATTACTGTAAAAAAGACAGAGAGGGGTTTGCTTGGGAAAGGGAACTCACTTTGTAGGTTACCGGGAAGGGGAGGAATTAATTTCGGGCTAGTTAAGGCCCACATGCTGACTTGCATAAGGAGAGGAATACATGGAAAGGACCTGTGACCACCATAATAACATTGGGAAATGAGAGGACACCGAATTGTGCACATAAGAGATAGAGGACAGATGTTAATACCAACCAATGAGTCCACAATACTGCATTACCATTAACACCAAACACCAGGCTACAGATAAACAAATAAACACCTGAGAGGATCAGATGGGGGTCAGTGAACAGGATATACTCTAGACCAAGGATAGATTCAGCTGAGGCTAATCTTGCACAGACACCAGTGATACAAAATACCTGCAATCCTTACAGAAACAATAGAAGACAGACACAGAGTAATCCCTCACAGACACCCAGACACTATGGGAGAGAGATCCAATATATCTACCATCTCAGGACCATAGTACTGTGGGACACCATAGGACATGATGGCCCTCAAGACCAGACGAACTAGATGGTTCCCAGCTACCAATGTCAACTACTCAGGAAAGGATCAAATCTGGAGGTCCTGGCTAGAATGGGAGGAAAAATGTGGAACAAAATCCAAAAACTCAATATTGACCAAAATTACTGGTCAGAGGAAGTCTGATGAGAACCCCAATACTATGGCCCTGGAATACATTCTGCACCTGGAAAAAAACTCACCCCCAGGGGCTGTCTCTCAGCCCAATAGTCAACAAGATGTACATGTAGATCACTCAACCCAGGATGACGCACCCACATACTCTATAGTAATACATCCCTTAGAGTAATGGACCATGGGGCACCAGAGGACCAACATTGAGGTTGAGGAAATGCAGGAAAAACAGGAGTGCATAAATATGAGGGGCACAGGGGGAGGGTTACAGAGTAGGGAGGGGAGGAAACTGGGTTATGGTTGGATATGGTAAGTGGGGAGTGAAACTAAATGTACACATTATGTTGAATGTAAAACAAGCTCTTACAATAAATAATAATAATAATTTTTTTAAAAAAAGGAGTGTACTGAAAAGGTAGGCTTATTATCTTAGAGAGATACACTGGGGTCACCCAGGTCTAGTGTGAATTCCTCACAATCTCAGCTTTGGGTAGGTTATGTAGCTATTGAAAACCTTCATCCCCTCAACCATAAAGTAGGGTTAATATTCCTATATCTCAGGCTTGTTGTGGCACCAAAATGAGATTTTGTTTTTGCTAGTTGCCATAGGGGAGCTCTGGTAGCGTAGCGCCTAAGGCACTTGACTGCTAACCAGAAGGCTGGCGGTTCAACTCCACCAGCCACTCCTCGGAAGGAAGATGGGGCAATCTACTTCCGTAGTGATACTGCCTCAGAAACCCAAGGAGGGGTCGCTATGAGTCGGGGCCAACTCGACAGTACATAACAACAACAACAACAGTTGCTATAGAGTCAGTGCCAACTCAGGATGACCCCCATATACAACAAAACACAATGCTGACTGATTCTGTACCATCCTCATGATCCCTGCCATGCTTGAGTCCTTTGTTGCCTTCCAACTAGGGGGCTTATCTCCCAGCATTATACTGGACAATATTCTGCTAGGCTCCATAAGGTTTTCACCGGTTAATTTTCAGAAGTATATTACCAAGTTTCTTCGTTGTCTGTCTTAGTCTGGAAGCACCACTGAAACCTATCCACCACGGTTGACCCTGCTGGTATTTGAAAACACCAATGGCATAGTGTTATGGATTGAATTGTGTCCCCCCACGAAAAAAAAAAAAAAAAAAAAACTGTGATATAAATCATAACCTGTAGTTATAATCCCATTTGGGAATTGGTTGTCTTTGTTATGTTAATGAGATACGATCAGAGTATGATGTGTTTAAATTAATTTCTTGTGAGATATAAAAGAGATTAAACAAGCAAGCAAAGATGGGGGGAAATAGGTGCTACACAACATGAAGATCACCAAGGAGCCAAGGAATAAGAACCTCCTCTAGAGCTGACAAAGAGGGAAGTTTGCCTAGAGATGGCCCTCTGATTTTGGACTTCTAGACTCCTAGACTGTGAGAAAATAAATTTCTGTTTGTTAAAGCCATCTACCTGCAGTATTTCTGTTACAGCAGCATGAGATAACTGAGACACATAGTGTCCAGCATCATAGCAACACATAAGCCACCACAGTATGAGAAAATGACAGAAAGGTGGTGAGATGATAAGTATAAAACACCTGATAATAATTCTGACAATAATAATAATAAATGACTGATTTTTTTGTTCATTTGTTTTTGTTTTAGATGACTGCCATTAGCCGGACTGAGTATGCACAGGCCTACCTATGATTTGCACCTTTATCTGTGAGAGAAAGATGTAACAACTGCTTCTATAAAGATTTACAGCTTTTGAAACCCTATGGGGAAGTTTTGCTTTGTCCTATAGGGTCACTATGAGTTGGAATTGACTCGACAGCAACAGGTTTTGGTTTGGATCATACCAAGGAATCCCTGGGTGGCACAAATGTCTAAGGGTGAAGGGCTGGACCACATTATTAACCCATATGTTGGCGGTTTGAGCCCATTCAGAAAGGCTTTGGAAGAAAGACCTGGAAATCTGCTTCCAAAAAGTCAGAGCCTTGAAAATTCTATAGAACAATTCTACTCTGCAACATTCAGGGTCACCATGAGTTGGAAATGACTTGACAACAACTGGCTTGCATGGGTTGATTATACCAAGCTAAGAACAAGAATCTTTCATGCACGCATTCAACCGAAATTTCCAAGTTATAGGTCTGGGAGAATAATAAATCAAATGGGAGCCCTGCCCTATCCCAAGGTCAGTTCTGCTCAGAGATAGCATAAATTCAGAGATAAACAAAGTAGAAAATGAATTGTACCAGTTGAGAAGGAAGAATCATTGCAAAGTTAGGGTTGCTCAAAGCCCTGGAAAAAGCTGGTACTGGGCCTACTCTAGAACCACTAATTATCTGAGCAGATTGTACTGCCTTTGGTCACCTAAACCATCCCCAGCATTAGTGAGCAGACACTACCTCATGGTTTTAGGCAGCTGGACAAAGGCTGGAGAGTACTGGCCATGGACAACTTCTATTTGTATCCTTGGATCAGTAATAGCAGATGCTCTCAGCAAGGAGCTTGCACTGTTGAGAGGGATCAGAGCTTGGTAAGGAAGAACAGGAGTGATGGAGGAGAGAAGACAAGTGGAGCATCAAAGGGCATGCAGAGACCCATTCTGACTTCACTATTGTGCATTTCAGCTATTTCAACCCAAGTTGATTGAGAATCTACTAAGTGTTAGGCCCTGGACAGTGAAGGTATCGAGGAGTAGAATGTGAATCTGATGTGGTCTTGCCTTGTGGGAGCCCCCAGGCTACTGAGGATGTGGAACAGATGCCTTTCGTGCCACATAACCAGTTGCACTGAGTTTATTCTGACTCATGACCACTCCAAGAGTGTCAGAATAGAACTGTGCTCTATAGGGCTTCCATGGCTGTGACCTATGAGAAGCAGATTGCCAGGCCTCTCTTCTGAGGCTCCTATGGCTGGTTTCAAACCACCAACCTTTCAGTTAACAGTTAAGCATTTAACCGCACCATCCAGGGACTACTTTCATACCACCTAGAACCAACCCACGTGCCAAGCAAGAAGCCTTAGCAGAGTGCTCATGTGGTCAGAGGAAGGAGAAATTATTGTGGCAGACTTGGAGGAGTCAAGAAAGGCTGCAAAAGGGAAGTGACCTTTGGGGGATCTTTGGAGAAGAGGAAGGGCTTTTTAGCTTTTCTGCCCAGCTCTGGCTCACCTCATGCTGACAATGTCCTGCTTCAAACACCTGATATTCCTCTTTTTGCCTAAACCTTCTTTTGTACTCTGGGAGTGTGGTAGGAGTGATGCTATGCCAGTCTCAGGCCTAGTATTTAAGAGAACAGGCAGCTTCCACCATGGACTCTTTAGCTCTGATCTGCTATATAATAAGTCTGACTCACTTGCTGCAATCACTCAGTCTACACCTGAGACTACAAGGGAAAGGAAAGGGGCTTAGCTGCACCCACCATCCCAGCCATCTCCACCCACAGGCCAGACAAATGAGGAAAGCTGTCTTGGGCCCTGTGGGCTATCAAGCTACCTGCTGGGTACCATTGAGTGACCTCAGTGAACATCATATGAAGCAGAAGAATCACCAGCTAAGCCCTGCCTGAATTTCTGACCCACAAAACTGTGAAGTAAAATAATAAAGCAGCTGTTGTTTTAAGCTACTGCCTTTTGGAATAGCTTGTTACACAGCAAAAGAAACCCAGGACAGTTTTGCTTCTCATTATTGATTTTGTTTGCAGTGAGTAGTGATGCATATTTGCATCAAAAGAATTTGGGGTAATAATTTTCCAAAACTTACTTTAGAATATACATGCATTGCACTTCAAATGAATCATCCATACCCTGTTGCTGAAGCAGATGTATAAGTTATCTTAAAAAAAATGACTCATATAGCAACCTTCATTGGCCATGTGCTATTTGTGAATCTATGCTGTTTATAAAATTTGCAAAGTATGTGTAATCAAAGTTCTAGGCTATTTTAAAATTCATGGAACACTGTTTTATGATGTAAAGTAATGTTTCCAAGCTCATAATTTTCACATACAAATTAAATTACAAACAATAAGAAAGGTAGTATAATGTAGAGGTTAGGAGTACAGACTCCAGAGTCAGCTGCATGGATTCTACTCCCAACTCTTCAGTTGCCTCATATATAGATTGGGAAGAACAATAGAAATTACTTCATAGGGTTGTTGTTGTTGTTGTTGTTGTTTGCCATCGAGTCGGCCCCAACTCATAGCGACCCCTCCTTGGGTTTCCGAGACAGTATCACTACGGAAGTAGGATTGCCCAACCTTCCTTCCGAGGAGTGGCTGGTGGGTTTGAACCGCCAGCTGTCTGGTTAGCAGGCAAGTGTCTTAGCCACTATGCTACCAGAGCTCCCCTTCATAGGGTATGAAGGTTAAATTAGTTAATGTGTGTAAGTGCTTAGAACAGTATCTGGGCTCATGATAAGAACAAACAGGTTTATTGTGACTTGTTTATTTTTATCTCTTCAATGTCATATTATTGCTTAGTTCTTTCTCCATCAAAATAGGAAGGATATAGTAGAGGGAAAGGAGTGTGTTAGAAAAGATTTAGCCCATAGCTCCACCATCCATCTGTCAATTTGCTATGATGCTGGAAGCTATGCCACTGATATTTCAAACACTAGCAGGACCATCCACAGTAGACAAGTTTCAGTGGTGCTTCCAGACTAAGACAGCCTACAAAGAAAGGCCTGGTGATCTACTTCTGAAAATTAGTCAGTGAAACCTCTATGAATCACAACAGAATATTGACCAATAAGATGGCTCCACACTGGGCAATGTTTTATTCTGTTTTACATGGGGTTGCCATGAGTTAGAGCCAATTGACAACTAATGACAACCCATAGCTGGCTTTTAATAAATCTCTGTGGAACACTAAATGTTCATTAATTGGAATCAATTTGAGGGCTACTGGTTTCTAGTTTTGGTTTGAGTTGACAATTACTCAATGAGTTTATACAGTTCTCAGATATCTGACATTCTTTAAACAATTTCCTCGGCTACTGGTCATTCCAGAGCACCAAGCACATGATTGATGGTTTGGAGCTCAGAAAACAGATGGCTTCAAACCTACCTGCCTCTGATACCTTCCCTGCCAGCCTCCTTGCTGGTTTCCATGTTGATGTCATCCAGGGATGTGCTCAGCAGGTCTCCAGTAGCCTCATCCAGCTTAGGCACAAACAACAGTTTTTCTGAACACGACAATCTCGGAATTGAACTTAGAGGCTTGGCCTGGCCCTGTTGTGCAGAATTCAAGTTGGCCATTTGCACAAACTTATCATAGTCTGCATTTGGAAAGAAAAAGATAAACATGAACACACACAAGAATTATGTTGGTTCCATTGTTCTTGTGACCACAACATATCACAGACCTATATTCATTTGCCTTTTTCTTTTTCTACACTGTGAGGCCTGCTATTTGCCTCTTGCAAACTTGAGAAATTCTTATGATCAGCCACTTAATTAGCAATTACTACTGAAAAGACCTCAGAGAGAGAAGGAAGAGATGAGAGGCCCTCCACTCCCTGTAACTGATGGTGCTAACCCGAGAGCATTCACAAGACTTGTATCAAAATTAAGTGTGATCACTCTGTTTTGGTTTCTGCCTTTACAGAACTGTCCTTACAAACATTCTTTGTAAGACCAAAAAAAAAAAAACCAATTTGCCACTAAGTCAGTTCTGACTAACGGTGACACCATGTGTGTCAGTGTAGATATGTACTCCTTAGTGCCTTCGGTGGCTGTGACCTTAAGGAAGTCAATCACCAGGGCTTTCTTCTGAGAATTCTCAGGTAGATTTGAACAGCTAATATTTTGATACATAGCTGAGTGCTTAACTATTCATGCCACCCACAGACTCCTTTGTAACACAAAGTTCTTCAAATCACCTGGACTCCCAAGACCAGGCTGTGGTCTGTGAAATAATCTCTACACAGCTCAGTTTGCTAATTGGTTGTCCTAGTAATGATATTTAAGTTAATATTTCTATTTTCTGAAATATAAGTACATATAAAATGTGTTATGTCTCCCAATTTTGACATGTTTTCCTCTTTTTATGCACACAGGCTTAATAAATGACTAATGAATTCCTTAACATGACACCACATATGCAAGTGATTCTCACCCATGACTCATGTTAAAAGGAAATTAGATTTGATAGATAGACCCTGAAAATAACAAGGTTTGACACCAAGCCAAGTTTAAATTTCGAAAACAGAAACTGATTATTATATTTTGACCATCTGCTCCCTGCTAAAATAGAAAAGGAAAGAATCCTTGAGCACAAGGCACTTGTGTGACTTGTGTTCTCTAAGCATGTTTGTGTGTGTGTGTGTGCATCTAATGCACAATAGACTGTCTCCACTACAAGGGTCTCCATGGGCATTTATCTCCTCAATCAGACCCCATTTCTTCCCTGCAATTGAGTCTAGCTTGTTCCCATGACTGTACTCTCTGAAAAATCTACCTTTTAAAAAAATAATTTTTGAGAACTTCCTGTGTATATGAGAAATTATGGTATCATTATCACATACAGTGGACAAGAAATTATTGAGGAGTGTAGTAGTTCAGTTTGTGTGTCAACTAGGCTGGGCCAGGTTGAGTGGCTGCGCAGCTGGATGTAGTATGCCCCATGGTGAGACTGGTAATCAACTCCATGGTGGAATCTACTGTGAGCAGCTGAGTAGCTGCCTTAGGGAATGTGGTCTGCTTCCTGTATATAAGCAGAAGCCTTGGGGAATGGTCTCTAGCTTATGGTACGCTTAGACCATGCATGTAGCCGTGTCATTGTTCAGCAGCCTGACATGCTCTGCCGACCTTGGGACTTACAATGGACTTGAATTAATGCCTTGCCTTGTGGTTTGGTAACATCAGGACTGTGCCTTTTTACTTGTCAACCTTGGGCTTCTCAGCCTCAGCAGCCAGCAGTTGTCTGAGTGAAGAAATGCCTCTAGCTCCAGTGGGCTGAGAGCAGGAAGCAGAGCTGGATCCCAAGGTTGAGGGGCTTTCACCCAGCCCCTAGAGCTGGGCACTTTGAACTTGGACTTAAAGCCTCCAAACTGTTTGTTTGTAAAGGCCATCCCATTTGTGGTATATTTCTGTCAGAGCAGCACTAGGTAACCAGAACAAGGAGTGTAAGTAGTCTGAATAGGACCTGAAATTTTTTCACAGATTGCATGATATCTTACTCCAGAGCTTGAGTCTGTTAAAAAAATTCACATCAACAACAGTAACAGTACCAACTAATATCTATTGAGAGCTTGTATGCCAAGTACAATGGTAAGTACTTAATCTGCATTGCCTCATTTAATGCCCACAACATCTCCATGGTGTGGATAACATTATACCCACTTACAAAAAGGGAAATATGAGGGTAAAAGAGAGTTGATAGATGCACAAATTCCAAGGATAGTAAGTGATTGATCCAGGACTCAGACCCAAGCTGGCTGATTCCACAGAGATATCAATATACAAAAACAAATCCATCAACACAGTAGATTCATCTGATAACCAGTACTCAAAGGGACAATGATCTTTGGTTAATCATAGATGACTTTAATGCCCACTGGAATCTGGTCTAGTGGCCTCAGTGCAGCAGTAGGATGTTCCAGGCACACCAAATGGTGGTGGTGGTGGTGGTGCCTCAATTCAGAGAGGTTTAGCTGGTTTGAAGCAAGACTCTGTGCAGACATTAGGGGTACAGGAAGAAGAGGTTGACACCCAGAGGAAGGGAGCTTACAGAAGGTAAATGAGGAGAGGGAGCCACAAGGGCCTGGGATATGGACAGGACTTTGTTCCCAGCAAGAAACTAGAGAGTATTAGGAGGCTGAGAAGGAACCTAGTTATCAGGGTAGGGAATAAATGGTGAGAATCAAGAAATGAGATCTGGGAGGTCAAGGATTTAACATCATAAACTCAACCAGAAACAGCATGGGTTAATAGCAGAGGGAATAGTGGGGCTGGGGTGAATGTTGTTACCATTATTAAGCCTCAGGTTAATGGGTACAATTGGAAGGACAAATAGTGGGAGAAAGATGTCTTGGTCAGCAGTAGAACCAAGAAATGAGTGAATGGGGCACTAGATAACCTTTCAGGAATGGATGCCAAGAATGTCTCAAAGTTACTGACATACCACGGAGAGTGGATGGTGTCTTTTCACTGACCCATAGGTGACTCATAGCATAACCATAGCACCAGAAAACTCATTGTCAATTGTCCAAATAAGTCTGGATGGCAAGGGCTGAAATCCAAATTAGATGGTGTTTCAAGGATACTGAAGACACTCAGAGCCAAGGACCACGAGGTCCAGGGAAAAGGGAATCAGGAAGGGATCTTGAGTAGTTCATTGTAAACCTAGTCTCACAGCCATAGAGCTTGTGGGAGGGGCTGAGAGCACCCCTTCAGCTCCAAGTACCTCATCTGAAAGCATGGATAAAAGCTGTTAGTACCTACTCTGCAATGTTAACCAAACCAAACCAAACCCTTTACCACTGAGTCGATTAGAATCATACCAACCCTTTTCAGACAGAGTGAAACTGTCCCATAGGGTTTGCAAGGCTGTAAATCTTTACAGAAGCAGACAGCCTCATCTTTCTCTCATGGAGTGGCTGGTGGGTACATACCGCTGACCTTTTGGTTAGTAGCCAAATGCTTTAACCACTCTGCCAACAGAACTTCTTACAATGCTGACAAACCTTACTTAATTTATTCCTGAAATTATACACTTGAAAAAGCTCAGTGATTTTTCTCTCTCCACAGAGAACCAAATATAACTATAAAATAATACAACTCGCAGAAGAATGACTAAGAAACATTTGGAAAATGTCCAGCTTCTCAACAAAGAAATGCAAAATAAAGCAACAGTGGCAAACCATTTTTACTCATCAAATGAACACAGATATATACATGATAATGTATACATGATAATATCTATTTCAGCAAGGATGCAATAAACAGGCACGATGATAATGGACATGGAAAAGGCATTCAGGAAACTACCAAGGGCCTTAAATGATCATTTTCTCATGCTCTTATACAATTATAATTATGCTTCCTAAACCTCACTTAAGGTGCTCTGGTGGTGTAGTGCTTAAGGCATTTGACTACCAACCAGAAGGTTGGTGGTTCAAACCCACCAGCCACTCTGCAGAAGGAATACTAGGCAATCTACTTCAGTAAAGATTTACTGCCTCAGAAACCCAAAAGGGGTGCTATGGGTTGGAATCAACACAATGGCAGTGAGTTTTGTTTGGTTTTTTGAGTAGACCTCACTTAAAGAAATAATTTGAGATATAGAAAAATATGCTTTTCAATAATGTTTACCTTAACATTACTTATAATATTGAAAAAACAAAAGCAAATTAAATATTCAAAATAGAGGAATGATTAAGTAAATGATTGTATTTACAATACATCATTTAGTCATATAAAACACATTTATAACTGCTTCCCATTTGTCAGCATCCTGGGGTTGTAAAGATAATAAGCTACTGTCCTGCCCTCAGGAAATCCCAGCCTGGTTGATTAGAGGCAAATGTGTCAACAAGTAAAAGTGGTAGAATATTAAGATGAGACAACAGAGGTCTGCACAAAAGAGGGAATGTTCAACTCTACCTGGGATGGAAGAATGGTTCAGCACAAAGGCCCAGGACCCTGAGATGTCCACATGGTCAGCAGCCTGCAGGCTGGCATGCAGCATAGCTGGATAGCAGAGTGGAAGATTCACCGCAAGAAGTTAAGTCATGGTGAAGCCAGATTGGGCATCTGCCATGCCACCCTAAGAAATGTGGGCTTGTCCTTGTAGACAAAGAGAGCCCTGACAGATCTTCAGCAGTGAGATTGGATTATTCCTTTTGAAAAGTCACTCTGAAGGCCGACAGAAGGGGAACCAAAGGGGACCTGAGCCTTGGCTTGAAGCCCACTTAAGAGGACTTGGTGACAGGTGGCACAAGAGAGAGTGCAGATCTACCCCCCTCTCCAGTTTCCTGCAGGGCATTTGGGCCATCTCGTTAAAGGAAACAAAGACCCTAGCAGAGGGAGCTGGTCAGAGCAGGTTGTGTGGATAGGCAGTGATTGAGGACTGTATGGGGCCATCAGAAAGTGGTGGCCGGTCCTCAGCTAGATTCAATCATTGAAAGTGGTGTCTCCAGAAAGTGTTCCTATATGAAGAGATATAAAAGAGGAAAGGAAATTTTGTCTAAAATAATCCTTTGTAATGCAAATATCAGATTCCCAAAAATTCTCACACATGTAGAATTTACATTTTGAGAAAACAGTATATTATAAGTCAAAAAGGCTTCTTAGAAGGACTAATTTCACAAGTGAACCTAAGAAGTCTTTATAAATATTTTACATTTGCTGAACTCAGGCAATAAAAAGAAATATTGATGGTATTTCATATGCTGTATCTCAGCAATAACAGGTAAGTCGTATATAATTAATTTATATTCATCATTTCCAGCTGCCTGGAAACATCCTAGAACTGCTACCCTGCAGTGTCAATGAAACGTTTATATATGTATTTGGTTTCCTTGCAGATAATATGCTGCCTTAGAGGGTTGTTATTTTTTCCCTCCTATTTTTAGTTCTACATCAGAATGCTTGGTGATACTGTGACTTCATTGACTCTTCCGTCCTCTGGCCCCCAGGGCCCAATGATAAAGTTCCCATTTGAACTGGCTGGCATGGAACAGAACTTTACTGAGCAGACATTGTTGTTACTAATCTCACACTGATAAATGAACACTGGATATCAAGGTAAAAACTTTACACACACTATCCCAATGAAGCTCAACACAAACATATGAGATGGACAAAAAATAAATAAATAAACCAGCAAACTAGTTGCCATCAAGTTGGCTCCAACTCGTGGTGACCCCATGTGCTGAAGAATTGCTCCATAGGGTTTTCATGACTATGTTTTCAAAAGCAGGTCTCCAGGCTTTTCTTTTGAGGCATCTTCGGGTGGGTTTGAACTGCCAACTTTTCAGTTAGTAGCCAAGTGCTTAATCATTTGGGCCACCCAGGAACTCCACAAGATGGGCAGTGGTATTAAATGAGGACACCAAGGCCCAGAGAGGGGAAATGAGTTGCCCAAAGTCATGCTGTTAGTAAGTGACATGCCATGAATCTATTGGACTCCACAGGCCACATTCCAAGCCTGTGCTTCTTACACATTAATGGGTATCCAAATCTCCTGGGGTTTTGAGTCAATAGATCTGGGTGGGACCTGGGATTCTGCATCCCTAGCAATCCCCCAGATGAGGCACATGCTGCAGGTCCAGGGACCACACTCTGAATATAAAGAATGTAAACCTCTGTGTGATAATGTTCCCTTAATAGCAGAAGAGGAAACAGCTAAGTATGAGATGAACAGCTAAATGGGAAGAACTCAATTGTCAAAGTCACATCTCTCTACCCCCAAAATTCAAACTGAAAAACCAAATCCAATATGGAATCTACAAAACACCACATAATGTGGATGAACTTGGAGGACATTATGCTGAGTGAAATAAGTCAGTCACAGAAGGACAACTAATGTATCAGGTCATTATTGTGAAAAGACAAGGAAAGGTTTATATATGGAAGGAAACATTTTTTTTTTTTTTTTTTGCTTACCAGGGGAGGGGAGGGAAGACTGATAAACAAATAAATAGATAGATAAATAAATAACCCATTGCCACTGAGTCGATCCTGACTCATAGTAACCCTATAGGGCAGAATAGAACAGCCCCCATAGAGCTTCCAAGGCTGTAAATTTTTATGGAAGCAGATTGTCACATCTTTCTCCCATGGAACAACTGGTGGGTTCAAACTGCCAACCTTTTGGTTAACAGACAAAAGAGCTTCACCACTGGAGCACCACAGCTCCTCAGAAACTTTGCTAAATACTGAAAAACAAAGAAAATTGTCATGTGTGCATGCCCAACTCACAGAGGTAATAGCAAGTACTATTTCAGTGCAGTCCATTTCTGGTTTTTGTCTTTCTTATTTAATAACACATTAATATTAACCAAATTGGTAAAACAGTGTGCTATTCAATACAATAGAGCTATGTGTCCATTTAAATCTAAATTAATTCATTAAATTAAGTTTAAAACTCAGTTGTGTCTGCCACCTTTCAAGTGTTGGGTAGAGGCTAGTGGCTTCCATATTGGAGAATGCAATCATAGAGTAATCCCTTCATCACAGAAATTTCCATCAGTGCTAGATGCAATCTCATATCTTGCATTTTCTCACTTAGCACCATAATATGTACATTTTTATTTGTCCTAATTCTCAAAAACTGATTCTAACATCTGAATTACATAGCTACACTATGATTTACTTAACTTGTCTTCTATGTTTGGATGCTTTATTTGTTTCCAAATATTCACTATTATAAATATGCTCTAGTGAATACCCATGAGCATAAAACTTCTGTGTACTTCTATAAGTATTATCTTAAGATAAATGCCCACATACAAGAAAAACTATAGGGCCCAAAGGACATTTTTCAGGCTTTTGATACAATCATATGCACTCCAGAAAGATTATATCAACTTTTCCTCCTACCCTCCTGGTAAGTATTATTTATTTTAACATTTGCCACTCTGAATAAAACAGTTGTATTTCAATTGTACTTTTTAGTTATCGGGGAAATTGAAGACTTTTTGGAAGTTTGCAGGTCAATCATACCAATTTATACAAATCATTTCATGGAATAACAAACTTGCCAAAGTATACATTGAGATGCATCATTTACTCACCAGTTAAGACTCGGGAGGACAGCCCAGAGCTTATCTGTGCATTAAACCCATGCTGGGCAGAGCATAGGCCCAGGAGGTATCGGCCGGTCTTGGCTGAATTGGTGACAAATGTGTGTTTTTTCCCAGTGATGCTGCTTGTGATAGTGAACTTTTTTCGCTGCAGGAAGCAAACACAGACTGAAAATGTACAGTCATCTTCACCCCATCTGCTGAAGCACAACTGTGCAGTGACTGATGAACATTTCACCACTCAGTTCAACATCAGCATACTAGGCACCCAGAGGTTTGAGCAGATATTGTCTGACTATTGCACAACATTTTTTCTTATATTATAGCAAACCCCTCTTTTCAATTCTTTTTCCCTTTGTTCATAAATCAAATCTTTGTTTATTGAACAATTGCTGTAACAAGTAATGTACTAGCTAAAGAAGATATGAAATGAATCAGGTAGTTTACCTTCAAGGAGCAAGTAATGAACATCATCTAGACTGTGTATTTTGAAAAAAAACAAACCAAACTCACTGCTATCAAGTAGATTCCAACTCATAGTGACCCCTCCTTGGGTTTCTGAGGCAGAACTTTACAGAAATATGTGGTCCAATCTTTCTTCTGAGGAGTGTGGCTGGTAGGGTTGAACCATCAGCCTTCTGATTAGCAGTCAAATGCCTTGGGCATTACACCACATACCTTCTCTAAGAAGTTGTAGATAAAATCTCAGCTAATAGGGTTGTATAAAAGATAAAAGCACTGTATGTGTTCAAATATTCCTTAGTCTTATGGGCCAGCTTTTGTTTTAAGTAGAATCTCTGGGTGTGCAAACAGTTAAGACACTTGGCTGCAAACAGAATGGTTGAAAGTTTGAGCCCACCTAGAGGTGCCTCGTTATCTACTTTTGCAAAATCAGCCACTGAAAACTCCACAGGGCACAATGCTACTCTAACACACCATGTTATGGGGTCACCATGAGTCAGAGTCCACTCGACAGCAACTGGTGGTCTGTCCTATGGACTGATGGATATTAATTCATTTTGTTCTCACAGCTACAGAATGAGGGAGGTTCTATTACTATCCTTATTCTACAGATGTGGAAACTGAGGTCACAAAGCAGCTGAGATTGCAGTTACACCACCAAGAAACACTTCTCAACATTTATACCTTCATGGACAATATACAAAATGATAATATTTGTACCAATTCCAGGGATAAACTGGAGAGGATTTTTTAGGTGGGGTTATTAACATGAATCTTCATGGAAAAAAAACAAATCTTTTATTTTTTATACTGTATAAGAAGCCTGGTGGTTCAAACCCACCAGCCACTCCTCGGAAGGAAGGTTGGGCAATCCTACTTCCATAGTGATACTGCCTCGGAAACCCACGGAGGGGTCGCTATGAGTCGGGGCCGACTCGACGGCACATAACAACAACAACAACAACATAATTCAAATAATAACTATTTCCTGATTTTAAACCATGAAGTATCCCCTTGTTCTTTTCAAACGACTGCCTCTTGGCCTATGTACAGGTGCCTCATGAGTATAATTAGTGTTCTGGAATTCCCATGCTTCGTGATATTTTAAAACATTCACATGGTTTAAAATCAGGAAAGGCATGAATTAGTGTTGTATCTTTTCGCCATACTTATTCAGTCTGTATGCTGTCAAATAATCCTAGAAGCTGAACTATAGCTAGAAAAACATGGCATCAAGATTAGAGGAAAACTCATTAACAGCCTGCAATATGCAGATGACACAACCTTCCTTGCTGAAAGTGAAGAGGTATTGAAGCACTTATTGTTGAAGATCAAAGACTACCAGCCTTCACTTTGGATCAACCTCAATGTAAAGAAAACAAATATCCTCACAACTGGACTTAATAAGCAACATCTTGATAAATGGAGAAAAGATTGACATTGTCAAAGATTTCATTTTACTTGGATCCACAATCAACGCCCATGGAAGCAGCAGTCAGAAATCAGATGATGTATTGCATTGGGCAATCTGCTGTAAAGGACCTCTTTAAAGTGCTTAAGAGCAAAGGTGTCACACTGAAGACTAAAGTGAGCCTGACCCAAGCTATAGTATTTTCAATCTTCTCATACACATGTGAAAGTTGGACTGAAGAATTGATGCATTTGAATTGTGAAGTTGGTGAATAATATTGAAAATACCATGGACTTCCAGAAAAACAAACAAATCTGTTTTGCAAGAAGAACAGCCAAAATGCTCCTTAGAAGCAAGAAGGACCACATTTTCATCTCATGTACTTTGGTCATGTTCTCAGAAGGGACCAATCTCTGGAGAAGGATATCATCCTTAATAAAGTAGAGAATCAGCAAAAAAGAGGAAGACCCTCATCAAGATGGATTGTCCCAGTGGCTGCAATGATGGACTCAAGAATAGCAGTGATTGTCAGGATGACAGGACTGGGCATCGTTTCATTACATAGGCTCACTATCAGTAGGAACCAACTAAGTGGCACCTAACAACAAGAACAATAAAACAAAAACAAAGAGAGATTATATTAAATATAACTGCCAAATAAACTCTACAATGTATTTGTATGTGCTATAAGAATGTCCATATAACCAGAACTAACAGGGGACAAAGTTATGATAATTTCTTAGCCACAGCCAACCACCCTGAGGGATCAAGTTGTTGGACCTGTGGGCTTGGGACCATGGTCATGGGGAACTGCACTTTCTCTGGACGCATTGATATGTTTTCATACAGTCCTGACAATTTTATATTAAGTTTATTTGGATGTTAACAAAATTAGATAAATAAACTATTCTTTTAGTCTTTAATAAATTTAACGAACTAGTCTTTAAAAAAAAACCCAAAAATGTAAGCACTCACACACACACATACACACACACATACAACACTGCTTCTTTAAGGACTTCACCTCTTGACAAAACTCTCCTTTTAGATGGCCAATGTGATAAGGTTATGCTAAGGTGCTAAACAGTAGAGAGAGTGGTATTCTGATCTCATTTCTTGGCATAAAGCCGAAAACAGAAATGACTGTACTGGGTGATATTTTATTTTCATTTATCATCATTTTGATAACCTCACCTAACGGGAAATTCATATCTGTAGGCAAACTTTCATATAAGCAAGCTTCTTTGTGAATAAAATAAGATATAACTCAAATCTCAAGGGTTTTCAGCACAAATATGGAACCTTTATCTACACCTCTGTCATTGCAGCACAAACATACTTTGTGCTTCCATAGCATTGTGTTTGTTTCAAAGCTCTGGCTTACCACTGAAAATACTTTACTGGTTGTTGTTCGTACACTTATTTGTTCATTTGTTTTCCTAGATCTCTGCAGACCAAAAATATTCTTTGAGACAAGTTTGCCATGAAGCTAATGAAGACTTAGCTCCAGGGCCCCTCACTTGTATATGCCCTTTGCTGGGAGGGATCCTGGAAGTATGTTCACATGTTCTTGAAAAATTTTAAAATTAAGATACTTTAACCGCAATCAGTTCAGAATACAGACTCTTTCACCTTTGGTTTCTTCTCCTTCCCACTTCACATCACATTAGGTGGTGTGGGGTGATATGGAAGTACATCCCATTAAAGAGAAGTTAAGATGGGGTTATCCTGAGTTTAGTTTTAGGAGGTTTATTTATATGGTTTGCAGTCAATTCTGCAATACATAACTTACTGCTAGTCATTTCAGGAATACTCTTTCCACTGTCAACTCACCCAACATCTTGGCACAAAGGTACAAGACCAGTAGCCATGTGAAATGGGTTTCCTCAGAAGGAACATTGGGCTATCTACTTCCATAGAGATACCATCTCATAAACCCAAGGAGGGGTCACTATGAGTCAAATAGACTTGACAGCAGTGAGTTTGGTTGGGGATTTTTTTGTTTGTTTATTGATAATTCAGTGTATATTATTACAGAGTATATCCTTCACAGATATATTTCTGTTTGATTTGGTGGTCTTGAGCCCTAAATTTGTTCAATATACCACATAACATCTTTATTTTTATAAGAATCACACAAAATAGAATTTATTAGAATTCTCATATTTTAGTAGAGAACTCTGTAGGTGCACAAAAAGTGTATCGCTAAGGAAGTTTCTTATTTTATGCATCCAACTCATAGTGACCTGTCCTTGGGTTTCCAAGGCATAGATTGACCAACCTTCCTTCTGATGAGTGGCTGGTGGGTTTGAACCACCAGCCTTTTGATTAGCAGTCAAATGCATTAAGCACTATGCCACCAGAGCTCCTCTTTGGTTTTGGTTTATTAATAATACAAAGGAGTTCTAATGGCACAATGGCTAAGGCATTTGACTGCTAACCAAAATGCTGGCAGTTCAAATCCACCAGCTACTCCTCAGAAGGAAGGTTGGGCAATCTACTTCCACAAAGATTTACTGCCTTGGAAACCCAATGGGGGTCTCCATGAATGGGAATCAACTCAGTGGTCATGAGTTTGTTTTTGTTGTTGTTGTTGTTATTAATAATAAAAATAAATTTAATTTTAATGAATCAACCATGATAGAAGAAAAAAGTATCATCATATAGAAAGGTAATGAAAGAGTACGCCACCAAAAATTTGAAGAAAAAAAATATCACAGAGTTTGTCAGGGAGTTAATTAATAAAAAATATTATTTTCTGCCTTTTGTGACATTTGTAATATTTACTCAGCTTTTTAAATTTAATAAGTTGTGTGATGTTTTTCTCATTCTAAATAAATATTCATTTTCATACTATATTTTGTGCTTGTAACTCTGTATTCCTATTCCATACTTATCAACTATCTTGTTATCTGATATTTATTATTTACAACCTTAGTGAAAAATCCGCTATCTGACTATTTGCACATTAACAACATATGTCTGGCAGTGTGGTAATCAAGGTTATGTGCCAACTTGGCTGGACCTGGTTTTGAGTGGCTGGGGAACTGGATATAATTATTCCCCACAGTGAGATTGGTAAATAACTCCATGATAAAATCTACTGGAGCAGCTACTCAGCTGCTCTAGGGATGTGGGCTTCCCAGTATATAAGAAGTAACTTGGAGGAGGGTCTCCAGCTTTTGGCATGCTTGAATCTTGCATGTAGCTGAGTCATTTTTCAGCAGCCTGCCATGTTTTCCACTGACCCTGGGACTCTTAATGGACTTGAAACA